TTCTCTGACTCGTCTCCGTTCCTTGCACCCATGCCCAGAATATAACAAACACTATGACCCATTATCCTATTATGAAAGCAAAAGCTGCACCTAGCCTATCTTGACTGATCCCCAGAACCTAGGCAGTATAATCCTGGTAAGTACTTTAATGAGGGATCGCCTAGGTAGGAAGACCACAATTGTCAACTAGAATGGGAAGTTATGAAAAAAAATCCAAAATCAAGCACTGTTAAACCAGTTCTATGATGCTGTCCAGAAGAACGGATGTAAGAAGTTAATTAGGCTCTATTCAAGAACTTTGGTCTTCATCCTGTGGTAAAGCAAATATTTCCATAGATTATGTTTCTGAATAAGATACAAATTTATCTTATTTCATCCATCCTCCTTTCAGCAAAAAAACTATAACTGAAATTAAATTTGCTGCCTGACTCTATTTTGTTTGCTCAGAGAAACTATAAGGCCGAGAGACTTAGAGATGAGGGTTATTTCATTCTTGTTTTGTTTGTTTATTATACTGTACATCAGCTTTGAGAAACTTAAAGAAGATAATGTAAAATAAAATAGATGGTAAGATGTAAATGAAAATAATAGGGGATAAAGAGTGGAAAATAAATGTGAGGATGAAATGTTTTTGATATTGGATTAATGAATTGAAAATATGAAGTGAGAATTTATTTAAAGGTCAATGGAATAGATAATGATTTGATATGAAATTAGATAAGAAAGTTGGAAATGTAATTATGACTATGTATGAATGTTGTAGCCTGGAACCGTGTTGCTCACTTGAAGAAATGTGTAAAAAATAAAAAACTTCTATATATAAAAAAGAGTTGCTTCTGAATGGTGCTGTCCCTAAATAGGCCTGTGATATAAATACAAAATAAAAATCAGCTGATTTTTCCAGGTTTGCTGCCTTCAGCACATCAATAGTTGGTAGTGAGAAATACACCCGTCAATCATGGCACTGCTGCAGAAATGGGGCAATATCACTGCAGAACTCTTTCTGATGGCTCTGAGTTCCTTCATAAGCCTTTCTTCCTACCCTCTGCTTAGTTGTAACTCAAATTGGATAATAAACAGTCACTGAGGAGATGGCATCACAAGTTGCACTTTTATTTAGGATTCCTTCCCCCTTTCTTTCCTTATATAGATTACAACTGCTGTCCTCAAGATCCCTTCATAATCTGTTCAGAAGGTAATGGGAAGAGTTGGTCTCATCCTTCTACTATTAAAATACGTACTTCGGCCTCTTAGTAATCCAATCCGGATCACAGTTTATCACTTTTAGAACTCCTAGGTGAGCAGCCTAACGATATTGCACAATTCTGAGAGACTACCACATATTTTTTTCAGTCATTATTTGTTACACTGGAAAATACAAAAGGCAATTTGTACATGTGTGGTAAACATTGGTTCATGGTGGGCTATTATTTGCATGCAACTAGACTGGACTTGTCAATGAAATGCAAAGAGAACTCCTATACTGAAAACATGGGTCTACTGTGCTTGAATAAATCTCAAGAACCATGATAATGTTGCAGTGTCCAGTTCTTTAGAGAGACGAGAACAAAATGATGTTAGGTAATGTTAAGTGGGGAGAAAGGGTAGCCTAGCTGTTAAAACGCTGGGTTGTTGGCAGTTTGAGACCCAAGTATCAACATGATGGGGTGAGCTCCCATTACTCATCCCAGCTTCTGCCAACCTAGCTGTTCGAAAGCATGCAAATGGGAGTAGATAAATATTTTGGTGGGAAGGTTGTTCAGTGCCTCGGCATATTGTCTTGCTGGCCACATGACCACAGAAGCATCTTTGGATATCACAGACCCCGTTGGCTAGAGATGAGGACCCTAGAGATAAGGACCCTAGAGATGAGGACCCT